TTACACTTTTCATTACGGATAATTTATTTTATTTATTTTATTTTTTTAGAGGGGAAGGGACAGAAGTAGAGAGAGAGAGAGAGATAATCTTAAGCGGGATCCAAGCCCAGTGTGGAACCTGATGTGGGGCTTGATCTCACAACCCTGAGATCATGACAGGAGCTGAAATCAAGAGTTGGATGCTTAACCGACTGAGCCACCCAGGTGCCCCCTCATTATAGAGAATTTAAAATAAATACAAAAATAGACTAGAATGATGAACAACCATCCAGCCCAGTGACCACTCTGGAAGATCAACTACAGTAGGGCCAGTCAGCACAGTGGGCTGAACGGCCTTACCCCAGAGTTTCTCAACCTCATCACGATTGACATTTTAATTAATTAATTAACTTATACTATTATTTTTTTAGTGAGCTCTATGCCCAATGTGGGACTCAAACTCATGATCCCGATATCAACTGTCACAATGCTCTACCAACTGAGCCAGCCAGGTGCCCCTCTAATGACATTTTAGGCTTCATAATTCTTTGTGAGAGTGGGGGGAGGTCCTGGGCATTGTAATATGTTTAGCAGCACCCTGGCATCTACCCACTAGATACCAGTGGCATCCCAACCCACAGTCATGGAGATCAAAAATGTCTCCAGACATTGTCATATGTCCCCTGGACAAAAATCAGTCTTGGTTAAGAACCATTGCTTCATTTTTAAAATTAATTTATTATTTTTTTAATTGAAGTATAGTTGACACACAATATTACATTAGTTTCAGGTGTATGGCATAGTGATTCAATACTGTTATATCTTATGCTCTGTTCACCACAAGTGTAGCTCCCATCTGTCACCCTGCAATGCTATTACAGTACCATTGACTGGGTTTCCTGTGCTGTGCCTTCCATCCCCCTGACTTATTCATTCCATACTTGGAAGCCTATACCTCCCACTCCCCTTCCTCCATTTTGCTTTCCTCCCACCCCCTCAGCTCTGGCAACCACCAGTTTGTTCTCTGTATTTATGAGTTTGTTTCTGCTTTGTTTTTTTGGTTTTTTAGATTCCACATATAAGTGAAATCATATGGCATTTGTCTTTCTCCGTTTGACTTCTTTCACTTAGCATAATGCCCCCTACATCCATCCGTGTTGTCACAAATAGCAAGATCTCATTCTTTTTTTTTTTAAGATTTTATTTATTTATATGACAGAGAGAGACACAGCAAGAGAGGGAACACAAGCAGGGGGAGTGGGAGAGGGAGAAGCAGGCTTCCCACTGAGCAGGGAGCCCGATGCGGGGCTCGATCCCAGGACCCTGGGATCATGACCTGAGCCGAAGGCAGACCCTTAACGGCTGAGCCACCCAGGTGCCCCTAGATCTCATTCTTTTTTATGGCTGAGTAAAATTCCATTGTTTATATCTACCACATCTTCTTTATTCATTCATCTCTCAACGGACACACCTCACTTCCATCTGTATCTTGGCTATTGTAAATAATGCTGCAATAAACATAGGGTGCCTATATCTCTTCTAATTAGCATTTTTGTTTTCTTTGGGTAAATACCCTGTCGTGAAATTACTGGGTCATATAGTATTTCTAATTATTTGATGAGGCTCCACACTGTTTTCCACGGTGGCAACACCAATTCAATTCAAATGCACAAGGGAAGATCCATTGCTTTAGATGATACTCTACAGAACCAGTCATATTTTTACTGACTCTTGGATCGTCCCCAGTGGACTAGCCATCTGCTCTGTTACTTAAAACTACTGACTGACAAATTAAAGACACCCCTCTTTGGACTGCAAACTGAAAAATAGCTGTGGTTGGTGATTCAGCATACTGGGCCCATAAGGGCCCTTTCTCTGAGGAGAGTGGAGTCAAGGTGCTGGTCAAGCCTGTGTGGTCCAGACTGTCTCCTGGACCCATGGTCATCCTGAACATGGCACTACAGCCACCATCATACACTGGACACAAAGCCGAGGACCCTGTTTCTGATGCAGAAGCTTCACTGCATACCAGACTTGTGACTTCTGCCAAAAGTTGGCCCCTTTATCTCACAGTGAAGGAAGCCACAGGACAGAGGGCATTGGCTCTATCCACTCTTGATGGATTGACTACACTGGACCTTTTGACTCTCCTTTTTTGGCTTCCAACAGTGCTTCACTATTGTTGACACTTTTTAAGGTTATGATGTTGCTGTTCCAGTCTGATCAGCTGACTCTGGGCCCACCATTGTGGTCTTTGAAACCAAACTGTAGTGTATTTGGCTTTCTGGAACATTTACAGTTTGACAATGGTGCACCTTTTGTAGCAAAGCCTGCAAAGCCACCCAACAATGGACTCAGAGTCCAAGTATTCAATGAATCTATATGCTCTCTATCATCCACAGGCTTCTGGTATTGTTGAGCTTTGAAACATCCTCCTCAAAAATCAACTCTCTCTTCTCCTCCTTATCCAAACACCTGGGGAAGGCAGTTTGGTCACTGTGATGTCTTTGTAGTGTGTCAACTTGGCTAGAGTGAACCATATTTCCAAATTCCCATAGCTTAGTGTTGGCCTCCCTTGACGGCAGATTGGACATTCATCAATGTCACAGCCATAGCAGCCTTTGTGAGAAAAAAGCCATTTTGTTGAACCCATGCATGGACTCCATTACTCACTATGGCCAAGCCATGTCATACAGGAACTGTTCCATGTATACTATTCCCACTTGTACATGGGCCTGCTGAGCATTGGTATCATCACCTGATTAAATTTGTGAAAACCTATCATCTGGATTTTGTACATTCCAAACATGTAAGTTAAATGAAGATATGTTGGGAATCACCACCTCTGCATCTTTTGAGTTCTGGCTGGTGGTAATTCTGGATGGTGCTAGCAAGAGAGAGGGATGCCCCCCTCACCCCAGGGATAGGGCATTGATTTTTGGTTGAGTATCTAAGGTGGAGGTGGGGAGGGAGACATTCTAGAAGCTTTCACTTGACCTGTCCCATCATAATAGGTTTTATTCTTTGGGTCAGGGAAGAAACATGGGGATTTCACCAGTTGGGAAGTATATCTGATGTGATCAGGGAAATAACCATAAGATTAGTTCAGGGTCTCACCTGACCCACTGTGAGACGGACTGCTGCCAAAACTCTGTATCTACTCACCTCCATAAGCTCTTCCCTCTCCAATGGACAATGGGGCACTTTGCCTTTCCAGAGATTAGGTTCAGATATGAGCCATTATGCACAATATGGCATCTAGGGGAATGAGCACAGGCTTTAAAATCGACCAGAATCTGGGGCGCCTGTGTAGCTCAGTTGGTTGAGTATCTGCCTTCGGCTTGGATCATGATCTCGGGGTCCTGAGATGGAGCCCCGTGTCGGGCTCCTTGCTCAGCAAGAAGCCTGCTTTTTCCTCTCCCTCTGCCTTCCACTTCCCCTGCTTGTGTTCTCTCTCTGTGTGTCAAAGAAATAAATAAAATCTTTTTTCAAAATTAAATAAAAAATACATCTGTACTCCCTCCCTATCTTAGGACTTAATTTAGCAAATTATTTTTTTTAAATGTTGGTGAGGGTGTAAGAAATTGTGTTCCAACCATAGCTAATAGGAGTGTAAGTTGGAGAAGCGTGTCTGAGAGACTTAATAAGACCAAGAAAAATATCAATAACTTTAAGGCAGCAATCCACTGCCTAGAAATTCATTTATTTTGTCTTTTTGCAACTTTTTAAGTTAAATTACTTACATGGGTCTTTAATTTTTAGCCTTTAGTTTTCTCTAACATGACCATTTAAGGCTATAATGTCTAGACAGCGTTTGTGATATGGTAGTATTGTCATTGTTTTTCATTTCTACATCCTAAGTGATTTCCACTATGGTTTCTTCTTCAACAGATGAATTATTTAGAAGTAATTTTATGAGGGGGCGCCTGGCTGGCTCAGTAGGTAGAGCGTATGACTCTGGATCTCAGCTCGTGGGTCCAAACCCCACTTTGGGAGTAGATCCTACTTAAAAAGTATGAATAAAAAAAGAATAGAAGTTATTTCATGCATTTCCAAATATGATGTTTCCTAATTTTCTTTTTTGGTTAATACTTCCTATTTAATTGAATTGTGGTCAGGAAGTGACATCAATCCTTTGATATCTGGTGAAAAATGTGATGTGGGGTCCTTTTTCATAAAAGTTCGATGTGAGATTCAAAATAGTATGCGCTGCACAATGCTTGTTACATTTCGGCCTTTGGCTGTTGGGTGTAGTCAGTATAGTAACATCTGGGTCAAAGTGTTACAGGAAATGCTGTGTAAAGTATCCCATGGATAGTAGTAGTGTGAATTCCTCCTGGTAGTTCTGCCCATTTTTTATTTATATACAGTGTTTTATGCTATTTAGTTAGGTTCGCACCAGTTTGTATTTATTTCATGTCCTGATGAATTAAACCTTTTATCATAATGGGGTGATCCTCTTTATCTCTAGTAATGCTTTTTGCCTTAAGTTCTATTTGGTCTGATAATAACATAGCCACATCTGCTTTCTTTTCCTTAGTTTGTCTAAATATATCCTTTTGCATTCCTTTACTATAAATCTTTTAAGTGAAAATTTTCAGTTATTTGTGTGTGATATACATTCTATTACAATTTATATGATAATCAGCAAGCTGTTTGGAATATTTTGGCCATCTTATTTTGTGCTTTCTATTTGCCTTCCTTTCTAGTTCTATTTGTCTCTGGCTTCTTTTGTACTGATTAAGTATTTGTCTATAATTCCTTTTTTTTCTTTGAATAAGTATGGGATTTCTATCTCTAGCCTAATAATTTTTACCCTAGATATTTTGACACTCGTAATTAACTTATTAAAGTCTAAAATTAATGAATAGCTTTACTATCCTTCACATCATACAAGGATATTTGAATACATTAACTTCCCATCCTCTGTCCCTTATTTTGTTTCTCATCTTGTTATTTTAAGCCTGGCAGACATTTTTATCATGTTTTGCACCGTAGATGTTCTTCTTTCTTTCCTTCAGGTTTTTTCTGGAATGCTCTCCTTCTTTCTAAAATACATCCTTTAGAATTCACTGAAGCTCTGTTGGAGGCACCCCCTCTACTTTGTTAGCTTGAAAATGTCTTCATTTTGCTTCATTCTTCAGGAGTATTTTTACTGATTGCAAAATTCCAAGTCGACAGTCAGTGGAAAAAAAAAAAAAGAATTAACATAGCAGGCCCAAGGCTGCTATCTTTAGAAAGGACTGCTTACAAGAATGGCCCTTGGCTGGCATCTGGGTCCTTGGCTTTCAGAAGGGTTCCCATCATTCCCTAACTGACAAGAATGGCTTCCTGTGTTGAAACCGTAGCATATGGCTTATGCTGAACATCTGCTCTCCAACTGGGAGGCTGGAGTTTTGACATGTGCTAGACAGAGGTGCCTACGTTACCAGTTCCCAATACAAATCTTACACACTGAGTCTCTAATGAGCTTCCCTGGTGGACAACATTTCACACATGTTGTCATAACTCTGCCGGAAGAATTAAGCGTGTTCTGTGTGACTCCACTGGGAGAGGACTCTTGGAACTTGCATCTGGTTTCCTTTGGACTGTGCCCCATGCACCATTTCCTTTTTTTTTCCTTTGTATCTTTTTACTCTAATAAATCATTGCATGAGTCTGACTGTATGCTGAGTCCTGTGAGCCCTCCTGGTGACTTGTTGAACCTGAACCTGAAAGAGCCCCGACACACAGTCATTTCATCTCAGAACACTGGGTAGGTTCCATCATTTTCTGGCTTCCAATCTTGCTGGCAAGAAGTTAGCTGCAAGTCTAGATGTTATCCTTATATCCTCAGCTCAAGCACAGTGATTGTCATATGGTAGGAACTCAAATACTTGCCCAAACATGGTGGAAAGAGGGCTTCTACAGGAAGGGGCCTTCGGTCGTTAAATACCCAGAGGCTTTCCTGCTCATCATAACTTGTGACCTGGGCTGCCTGAAGAATGACTCAGGCCTGGAAATGAGCAAGCAGCTGTCTCCAGGATGAAAGATTAAAATATTCTTTTAGAGGAACTCAGGCAGTCTGAGGCACCTGCCTGTGTCTGCTGGACTCACGGGTCGAATGTGGGAGGCACAGACTGAGAGCCGTAGAGGCTGAGGGTCAAGGATTCCTGATACTGGCAATGCAGGGAGGGGAGTTAAAAGTCCAACAGGTAGGAAGACAGAAGAGGCTGGAGTTCCCTGCTTCGTTTTAGGTGAGAAGGGGCAGGTCTCCTGTTTGGAGCAGCTAGGGAGGACGGTATAATAAAAGCAGAATTTGCAGGATGGGGTCAAGCCCCAGGGCAGGGGAGGCAGTGGGGAAAGTTGGTCTTTGGGAGAGACGCTGCAGGGCTTGTAGAAGTAACCCCTTTCCTTGCTTCCAGTGTTTCTTGCCCCAGTCCATCCTGAGGGAGGAGAGCAGATACTAGAAGAGAATCCAAATCCCCAGAGCTCTTTTTCCAAAAGGGAGTTCTGTGCTCATTAGGTTGCATATGACTGCAGTTATCTGGAAACACTTTTAGTTGGTCTACTCCTGCTTGTGACCCTGCAAGATTTTTTTTTTTCTTACTTAACCCAGACTTGTCTCAGGGGCTCCCAATTCCACCCCAAATCATCTTTGACCACAACCAGAGGGTGGGAGAGTTATACCCTGGGGCAAACTGACAGGGATACCAAAGAGCCATTTGCCAGATCACTGACTGTCTGCTGCATCCCTGATAGCCTGTTCAGCTCCCCTGAGAAGACACCTGGATACCCCCTCAGGCGAGGCAGTGGTGATCACTGGAGCCACCCTTTGGTTGTGTGCACAGCTGTCTACCCGCCTTCTGCCAGGACACATCTGGTTGGGGTGGGAACCAGATGTGATTTAAGGGGATCTTTCTCCCTTTGATAGGCACCTCCACCTGCTTGTTCTTTCCTCTTTATGGTGGTTCTACTCTGGGCCGGTCCCCCTGGGATGAGTGATGTTTTTGATGGATTATTTTGGTCAGGGGAAACAGTTTCAGAGGCTTTCCCATGGGCTAAGGACCACGTGGCGTTTTTAAAGATTTTATTTATTTATTTGAGAAAGAGAGAGCCAGCAAGAGGGAGAGGAGAGGCAGACCCCCCACTGAGCAGGGAGCCCCACCCCACCCCCAACTCGGGGCTTGACCCCAGGACCCTGGATCATGACCTGAGCTGAAGGCAGACGCTTAATGACTGAGCCACCCAGGCGCCTCAGGATCATAATTTTTTATTGAGATGGCTGCCTCGAGCCTTTATCATCCATCCTGATTCCCTTTAGTTGTTGTATAAGTTAAGCTGTATCTTGCCCCCTAGGAATACTGTGGTTTAATACCACCTCTGTAATTCTCTGTGAGAACAGACTCCTCTGACTGCCATATATTACCATCGCCTTGTCACGTATTACAGTAACCTCACCCACCTTGCTGCCGGCTGTGGGCGTGCTGTCACCTGGCCCCTACTATTCGGAGATTCTGTCACCCCCCGTTAGAATTAGAAGCATACTTCTTTCTGTAACGGCATGTCCCACCAGCACTGGCCTAGAAAGGAGCCACCACTGAACTTTTCACTGATGCTGCGGGCCGCCTTCGCCGGCACATTCCTTATCACTCGGGAAATAGAATGTTCTTCAGGTCCTCCTGTGGACCACAGCCCCCTGGTGGGTTTCTGTCCTCAGCGGCCTCTCTACACCAGCAGGCCCACTGCTCTGAGTCCCACTGAGTCTGCCACGGCTGCTCTGACAGTTCTGTTTCACTTAGTGTGGGCCCTGGCTTGTCCTAAGTTTCCATGAGCCAGCCACGAGAACATGAATACCATCCTCAGGGGCGCCTGGGTGGCTCAGTTGGTTAGGCGTCTGCCTTCTGCTCAGGTCATGATCTCGGGGTGCTGAGATCGAGCCCCACTTGGGCTCCTTGCTTAGGGGCTCCCTGCTCAGGGGGAAGCCTGCTTCTCCCTCTGCCGGCCACTCCTCCTGCTTGTGCGCATGCTCTCTCTCTGACAAACAAATGAAGAAAATCTTAAAAAAAAAATACCATCGCCAGCTCCTTGCTAGGGTGCTAAATCCTGTACCGCATGACAGGGCTCCCAGTTGAATCCACACTCCCTTATCCAACTTCATGTTTTGCCTCATTGGATGCAGCACGAGGAGAATCCAGTCGATCCCCCCAGCTCCTGCTGGACACATTGGCCGTGTCCTGCAGTTCCTCTGGTGTTCAAGTCCAAGTCCATCCCCACTCGGTAGACCTGGTCTCTTCCTGCTGTGGCCAAGCAACCTGTAAGCAGCTGCGTGGTAGCTCCAGTGGCGTAAGGCCTGGCTGACATGTGGGCAAAGAAAACAGTGAGCCTCTTTTCAGACTGGACACTTTATTACTTATATAGAAAGTAAAAGTGTGAGGAGTCAGAGGTGCCAGATCCCTGGGGACCTCGTGCAGGGTGACACCAAAACAAAAGGGGCCAAATGACAGCAACATGGCCAATGAATGGCACCCATGGCAGGCTACCATGCTATATGGGGCAGGAGGGGTGGTAGGCAGAATTCTAAGGTGACCCTCAAGATTCCCACCCCCTGCTGTGATGTCCTGTCTAATCCTCACCCCATGAGCGTAGGTGCCAATTCTAAACGATAGCCACCGTTTTATAGTCTGTGGTGGTCCTCAAGGGAGGGTAAGGCTTAAAGCCCCATGCCTCTCCAGAACCAGGGAGGCAGATGATAAACTGGTTCCTGACAGCTCCTCAGAAGACTGCCTATGTTGCCATAGTTCAGGGGGTTAGTAAGGTGTTCCTCCAAGACATGCATTAGACTTTAGTTTAGCCTTGCTTACATGGCCTATGTGGAGGCATACAAGTTCACCAGGGCACTATGGTAGAGATGTTTTACCTTGCCACCTCTGGACCTCCATATATCCTACTAAGAATTCTTTTTAGGGGGGGTGCCTGGGTGGCTCAGTCGTCAAGCATCTGCCTTTGGCTCAGGTCATGATCCCGGGGTCCTGGGATCGAGCCCCACATAGGGCTCCCTGCTCCGCGGGAAGCCTGCTTCTCCCTCTCTCACTCCCCCTGCTTGTGTTCCCTCTCTCACTGTCTCTCTCTCTCTGTCAAATAAATAAATAAAAATCTTAAAAAAAAAAAAAGAATTCTTTTTAGGGGTACTTAGTTGGCTTAGTCCGAAGAGCATGGGACTCTTGATCTTGGGGTTGTGAGTTTGAGCCCCATGTTGGGTGGAGAGCCCCAACGTTGGGAGCCCCATGTTGTTCACTTAAAAATAAAATTAAAAAAAAAGAAAGAAATATAAACCATCCCTTCAACTGCTATAGTTAGTTATACTGATAGGGGCTTAGACCAAATCCTTTTTCCTTTCTTTAGGCAACACTGAATGAGAGTGACCATGATTCCTCTTAGGACAACCAGGCCAATCTGGAAGAAGATGGATTGCAACCAGGTTTCCCATCGAGGCCCAGGCCAATTTAATATGACATTAATTTAGGTGCCAGAAGAGGTGTTGGTTATTATACATACCCTGCCTTGACTGGTCAGCAGAAAATCCAGGCAATGTGATCATCCATCACCACTCACACTAGAGAGTTCAGGCTGTTTATGAGCGGCAGGCAATTAGATACCTGATATTCACTGTAAACAGTACTGTTCACTTGGGGCAAAGATATATTCGAAGTGTAACGTCTAGCTATCATAGCCCAGCCCAACCTCAACACTGTGTCCCGACCAAGACGACTTAGATTCTGCTAACAGTAGGTTTGAATCACCTTAGCAGTAGCATTTTGTTGATGTGAAGTCAAGGTCCAGTTCTTGCAAGACTGGGGGTTGGGATTAACCACGTAAAGGAAATTTAAGTACCAGAAAAACCTGTAAGAGAGAATACTTTCTAGAAGGATACTTCCACAGTATTCAAAGGAGGAACTCTCAAGCGTTTGTCAGCAGGGTCAAGAGGGTAAGACAGATTCAGCAATCAAAGGGAATTTTGTTTGGGTTTTGGGGGGGTTACAGGGGGGAGATCAAGCTAAGTAGAATCCTAAGTATCCTGAAAATTAATTCTTTTGATGTGTTGGGCTGAGATTCTCTACTTTGAAAGTCCTTAATTTAAGGTCTCCACTAGAATGGGTGTCCTGTGGTTAGGTTGAGGGCAGTGGTGATGGTGTGGGACCAGGTTACCAAAGTACTGGAAGATGACAGGCCCAGCCAGGTGTTGTGCAGGCGAGAGTCAAGAGAGGTCTAAGGTATTCCTTTACCACGAGCCTGAGTGGTTGCTCTCCTTTCCTGCTCACAGGATCGGTATATCCAGGCCCTGCAATTCATTGACTACTGTCCACAAATCAGTGAAAGTAGAGCAAGGTCCATTTTGGAGGGTTTATTCAGAACAAGCATAACTAACTCCCACTCTGTCTACTGGGAAGAGTTTTCTTCTTTGTGCAAAGTTTTAAACGCTTGTTTTCTGTCGCTGCACAAGCTGCAGGGGCCAAGGGCATTCCAGTGGCCTTTCACTTGGCTGATCCATCTATGAACCAAGGCCCAGGCGTCTTCAGAGACCTGGGTGCACTAATGCCCCCCAGAAGCCGGGGGTGCTGGCACCAACTTTCCCTCTGGGCTTGCTGCATCTGGGGATGTCTGGCCACGTTTTTATGCAGCAACAT